AACCAGCCGAGCTGTGGAGAACGTCAGCTACGCCTCGGTGCAGTTCAAACACAGCCATGAGAGGAGCAGGTAGGACAGAAGCTGTTCAGCTGTGAGGAGGGAAAGTCTTTGCTGGATGCTTGTAGTGTTTCAGATTTTCAGGTGAGAAACAGACACGTAAGAAGAAAATCAGAGGAACTAAATTAAAATGAATAAAATTTAAAAACATCATAATTTGTTACTTTTTCATTTACCCTATAAACATAAAACACAGCTAACAGCTAACAGTAGCTACGAACAGCTGAGACATTTTGAAAGATTTATTTATTTTAATAACTGCAGCAGCACGAGGACCATAAGTAACTGTGAGTTAAAATAAGCTCTTCTTACATCTCATGTGATGAAGTTGTTGACTCACTGAAAAACTGTCGATTTGATGCCATGCTGTGATGCATTCTGGGACTCTGGGTTTTCTCTTTGGTGTGTAAAAGTTGTTGGACTTCTTTTACTTGGTGACTGTTTTTAGGCTTCCTATTAATTCTTAGTCTTGGACTTTGTTGCTTGCAGCTACTTGCTCTTTATTTTTTCACATATGGAATTTTCCAATCATTAGAATCAGAATCTTTATTGTCATTGTAGCAACAAAGCATTGAACAACAAAATAGAGACACAAATCTGCAAAAGAAGAATAAAAGTTAACAAAAAAACGAAGAACGCAGTAGACGGACTCATCCCCCCACCGTGGTATCGTCTGCAAACATTAGAGTGGTGTAACTGTGGTGCAGGGGGCTCAGCCCTGTTGGGAGCCAGATGTGGGCGCTCACTCTAACCCCAGATGTTTTTATGGCGCTCATGTAGAGTTTTCTCTTGGTCTTCACAGGCACGTGGAGGAAGTCGATAATGCCGTTGTCTACTCTTCACTAGCCAGTCGAGGCTGAAGTCACGCTCTCACCCACAGAACTGAAAGGAGCCACGCTGACCACAGGAGAAGCTGCAGGAAGCTGCAGCACTTTGTGTTGATCTGCTGCAGTCTGACTTTCATACAGCAGCAGGCAGCTCGCTGCGATGCTCAGATTCCTCTTGTGAAAGCTCTGTGGTGCAGACAGTTGGATAAATTCATAAATGCAGCTTTATGTCCACCCTGCCTGGGGGGCTACGTGTTGGTTTGGCAGCTGCTTCTTGCAGGCTCTGCAGAGGAATCATGCTTTGTTCAAGATCAGCGTCTAAGCTCGATGTGTCTCTACTGACAGCTCAGTTGTTGGGTGTGTCTGCCTTCTGGGTTTTGTTTGCTGTCTGGTTTGTTTTCTCACACTATGAAACATCACATTCACGTACAGCACTGAGTGTACCGAGCTCTGTTGTCAGGGCGCTCAGTCTGTGACGCAGCAACTTTATTTTGTATGTTTGATTTCTTATGATGTATCAGAGTAATGGTAAGTTCGTGTGTTATTATCAGTATGTCTTAGTTAGGTTTTGTTTAGATACAATTTCATCCATGCTCCCCTGTGTATGTGTTGTTTTCTGTTTCCTGTGAAAGTCTGTCTTGTCCTCCTGCATGATTTTTAGTTATATCTGTGCTTCGTTCCCCTTATCTGTCTCCATGTTCCTCTCCTTGTGTTTCATTCAATCTTCCCAGTCTGCTTTATGATTCATGTCTGTGTTTCCCACGTCCAAGTGTCAATCAATCAGTCTTGTGTTTCCATGTTCAGTGTGTTTAGTTTTGCTTCCCCTGTGGCATCGTGTTCATTTGTGTCAGCTGTGTTTCCAGGTGTTTCCACTTCCCTCATTACTCTTCTGGATAAGATAAGATAAGATAAGATAAGATAAGATAAGATAAGATAAGATAAGATAAGATCCATACCTTGGATGTTCAGTGGTGGCAGTGGAGGATGTTTGTGCCTGTGGAGGTCTACCACCAGCTCCGTGGTTTTACTGGTGTTGATCTAGAGGTAGTTCTGCTGGCACCAGTCCGCAAAACCATGGGTCAGTTCTTGGTACTCTTTGTCGTCCCCATCAGTGATGAGGCCGACTATTATAGAGACGTCAAATCATTTCTGCAGGAAGTCCTGGGTGGAGTTGTGGGAGAAGTCTGCAGTGTAGATGGTGAAGAGGAACGGAGCCAGAAGCGTTCCCTGTGGGGCCCCCGTACTGCAGACGATCCTGTCCGACACACAGCCCTGAGTTCTCACATACTGTGGTCGGTCAGTGAGGTAGTCCAGGATCCATGTAGTGAGGTGACGGTCCACTCCTGAGTCTCCAGCTTGTCCTTCAGGACTGTGGGAAGAATGGTGTTGAAGGCAGTGGAGAAAGCAAAGAACATGATTCTCACAGTGCTCCCAGCGGTCTCCAGGTGCCAGGCTGGTAGGCAAACTGAAGTGGTTCCAGTGATGAGCTCACCAGGGGCTGAACCAGGACCGGTGTCCAGGGTCTTGATCAGGTGGGATGTCAGAGCCACCGGCCTGTAGCTGTTGAGGTCATTGGGATGTGGAGTCCTTGGCACTGGTACCACACAGGAGGTTTTCCAGACCTGTGGGACTCTTCTCAGCCTCAGCTGATGCTAACTGGACCTGCTGTATTTAGGTCCTCTGTCTTCCTGTGTTCAGTGTCAGGTCGTCTGTTGTCTCCATGTTCCAGGTATCTATGTATGCCAAGTTTCACATTTAGGGTTTTTCATCTTTAGTTTTAGTTTTTCCAGTTTTTGTTATAGTTTTTTTTTCTCGGTTCTCTTTGTATTTCTCCATCAGCCATAATAAACGTCTCGCTTTCACTTAATACTGAGTTTGTTTCTGCGCTTTGTTTTGTCTACATTCGTTGCTCGAGTCTCCTCGCAGCACAGCGACGACTGTAAATATGAGATTTTCTCTTATGTTTGTGTAATTTAAATAATTTCTTCACTGACACTGAAACATGTCTGACTGAACCCTCTGTACTCTGTTCTGTACTCTGTACTCTGTACTCTGTTCTGTACTCTGTACTGTACTCTGTACTCTGTACTGTACTCTGTACTGTACTCTGTACTGTACTCTGTACTCTGTACTCTGTACTGTACTCTGTACTGTACTCTGTACTCTGTACTCTGTACTCTGCACTCTGCACTCTGTACTCTGTACTGTACTCTGTACTGTACTCTGTACTCTGTACTGTACTCTGTACTGTACTCTGTACTGTACTCTGTACTCTGTACTGTACTCTGTACTGTACTCTGTACTGTACTCTGTACTCTGCACTGTACTCTGCACTGTACTCTGGACTCTGGACTCTGTACTGTACTCAGTACTGTACTCTGTACTGTACTCTGTACTCTGCACTGTACTCTGCACTGTACTCTGTACTCTGCACTCTGCACTCTGCACTCTGTACTCTGTACTGTACTCTGTACTGTACTCTGTACTCAGTACTGTACTCAGTACTGGACTCTGTACTGGACTCTGGACTCTGGACTCTGCACTGTACTGAGTACAGAGTACAGTACTGTACTCTGTACTGTACTGTACTCTGCACTCTGTACTCTGTACTCTGCACTGTACTCTGGACTCTGGACTCTGTACTGTACTCAGTACT